TTGATAAGACTCTTCGAAAAAATAGAATTTATGCCATTGCTTGTTTTGGTTAATGTTGGGAGAACTTTCATTAATGACTTTTTTTTTTTGAAAACAAAAATGTGTTTGTATTAAACTAGCTAAAAAGCATATTTGTTTTGTGCGTTAGTCTTTCCCACCATATGCTGTTGGGTCGGTTTGGTGTATTTTCTTTGTATTTTCTTTTCTTTTCAACAAATTAAGGGCATAAACAAAACAAAAGTTGGGTTGAGATGCTGTACGCGTGGCAGATTCACAACGGTTGTTTCTCGAATAAAGTATGAGAAAATTTTGAAAAACCACACGTGGTGTGAACTTATTCGATTCAAAGTTAAGAATTATGTGCTAGAAAATGATGGCCTCATTGATAATTTCCCAAAGTGGGAGGCATACTGAGGAGATTACTCGAAAAAAAGTGGGAAAATATTATTAATTAATTACTTAGTATTAACTAATCTTTTTGGGAGGTGATCAACTCACGCTTTGCTTCATTTATTAGTATTGTGTCGTGCTGTATTATAGTTATAGTTGTGAGTATTTTTATTTTTTATTATCAAAATGTTAAAAAAATATTAATAATTAAAATTAATTAAAAATCAAGAATTTATATTTCTAAATAAGATACTTTAAAAAAAAAAATTTATACAAAACGTTGTCTAAGGAAGCCTTAATGTGATTGTTTATTTGTGGAGCTGCATATGTTGGGAAGGTCGACATTTGTCATTTCCTTTTTCAATAAAATAATGTTTGACCAAACAATAACAATTTCTAATTCCATCCCTTTAGGTACTGAAAATAAAAACGACCAAAGTTTAATTTGGTTCAACCTAATCAACTTGTTTGGGATAATCCTTATTTATCCTATCCCTAATGGTATATCATAATTAAAGTGCCTCTTCTATAATGTAATTAATTAACTCGAGTGCCCGTGTTATGATGTCCCTTGACCCAAAAAGCATTAGTTTAGTAGTTAATGACACGTTGAGGTAGCACAAATCTTCTACTCAAAAGTAATATCCATGCTATTGGATTTGTAGGGAATAGGGAATTGAGAAAATAGTGGTGGAGGTGGGACTAATGCAGGAGCCGAGACACTTTTTCTTGAGAAAACTATATTCAGGATGTGTTTGGTATTACAGTTGAAAGTTTTTTCATGTAGTTATATAGTGTTTTTAGATATTTATGCATTTAGTATTTTTTTTAAGTTGCTTTTTTTTAAAATTACAAAAAAGTCACAGTAAATTTACAGTAATTTTTATATATATAAAGTCATAAGCCTCATTTTGGAACTTTTTTATTATGATTTTTATGAAAAACATTTAATATTTAATATAATTATAAAATTACCTATTAAAATCCAAGTTTCTATAATTTAATTACATCATAATTTATAATTTTTTAATAATGATAACAAATATAAAAAACCTAAATAATTAAAAAAATAGTAAATATTATCCATTTTAATAATTATATATCTTACAATATTTTTAAAATTTTAATTAATAATTAATAAAATTTACCATATTTCATCTATAATATTTTTAAAAAATAAATAACTAAATATTAAAATAATTGTTGATCACAGTCACAGTAAAGTATAGTTCAAAACAATTACAACCACAATTACTGTAACAGCATTTCACAACAATTTCAAATGTACCCTTAATTTAGTTTTATAAAAAAAATTTGTTTTTAAATATATAAAAAGATTATGATGTAATTTAAATAATATAATATAAGCCAAATGAGGGAACCTAATCTGCTAAGTCCATTAAATAGTTTATAGAGGGCAAAATATTAAACTCCTTCGAAAATAGTTGGAATAATTCAGTACAAAACAAATTCAAGGGGCCTACTTAATTCAACATCCAGGGCTAAAGGGGACTACGTTGGCTTTTCTGAGACACCAACTTTTTAGTACAATAGTAAAATTTCGAGAAGAGAAGTTGTCTTGTTTGGGAGTGAGAGAGGGCGGGGCATCCCCATTTATCAATGCCACTGCAACACTGAATTCTCATTTCTCAAGTTTCAACTTGCAAAGTATCTTCTGTACACAATGGCCAGAACTATCTACATCCTCCTCACCACTACCACTAACACTAACACACATGATTAATTAAATTATGGGGAATACTTGCATGGTGAAAAAATCCAGAAAAATAATGGAAAATTTGAAAAATCCACTACCTTTAAATGGTAAAAAATTAATTAATAGGCAAATTAAAAATCGATTCATGCATCCTTGTGAAGTTTAATGGCAACAACCATCAGAAAATGGTAAAAAATATAGAGAGAGATATTTCTAATGTATATCTTATCCATGTGTGATGAGAGAATAATATTACTGCAAATTTTCCTTAATTTTTATTGCAATTTTTCCTTTAACATATATACATTTCATTTGAATACAAAGTTATGAAATATATAATCCTTGTGATTTTATATATACTATTTAATCAATGCAAATTAAATAAGAAAACACAAGTAGTGGTTACCAATGTAAAATTTTTTTTATATATATTTATAACTTTTCTATATCAAAACTTCATTATATATATAATGTATGTATATTGAGGTAGCAAATTTTGAGGATAATATAACTAAATATAAAGCATGGAATATATATTATAGATATAGTGTTTTAAACATAAGATGGTTACGGATAAATAGTATTTTAAACATATGATAATGAAGGAAAATAGACCTAATATGGAGGGATGCCATGTTCATGACCAAATTAATTTAGGCCTTAAAATTGGTATGTGTAATAAAATGCATGTTATGAACACATGTTTGTTTATTTATTTGTATTTTTATATATTTCAGAAAGAAGATAAGGAAGGGAATAAGGTGATTGCCTGGAGAGATATATATATATATATCAATAGTTAAAGAAGCAATAAAATGAAAGAATAAAAGAGAGAATGTAAATAATAATAATAATAATAATAAGATGGATATGGTCTTACGTGTACCATTAAAAAAAGGCAGATGTAAATGAAATTTTGGGCTTTTTTTCTCCTTTGTGAACAGGCAGAATGTAAAAAATATATAAATTAAATTAATTAAAGGAGATGCCGAACTAAGTCTTTTTAAATATATATATTTCTTATGAATGAATTATATAACAAAAAAAAAAAAAAAACCTTTTTTTTTCTTGAATTCCTTCCCCACAAACGTCAAGGCTCAAATTTATTAAATTTGGAGTCCCAAAGCCTTCTCCAATTAAGACGCCCTTGGAAGCGTGTTTGTAGTAGGAAATGAGATGCAGAAAATGGAGGTGGTGGTGGGGAACGAGAGCAGAAGGCATACTGTTCCCATTTTTGTAATCTGAGAAGTAGACAGAGGTAATAATAGCTGGATTTTGTTGTTTCATGCAGTTGAAGCAGGCCCCTCCCTCTGTAGATACTTCTGTTCTCTACTACCAATTATTATCATTCTACACTGCTTGCCTTGTTTGTACATTTATACCCTTTTCAATTCTTTTTTATTTCCCCTCTAAATTCTGAAAGCTGTTTTGTTTAATAATTAAATAATTTGTATTTTTTAAGAAAAATCATATACTTTATGTTTGTTGCTTTTAAAATTGTATAGTGTTTTTAATGTGGTATAACAAAAAGTTAGACTCCGGATGACAAAGATAAATAGTATGAAAAGTTAGAAAGATGCCAAGAAGCAAGGACAGTGGCTAGCTAGTTAGAAATGTATAAAGAAAAGTGGGGTTTGAGGCAAAATTAAGAGGCATTATGTCAATTTCCCATTTTTAGGTCCTGAAGGTTGTCTTCTTCTTCTTCTTCTTCTTCTTCTTCTTCTTCTTCTTCTCTCTGTCTCTATCTCTCTCTCTCTCTCTCTTTTTGCATTCCAAACTAAAAACTTTTTTTTTTTTTCTTAAAAAGTCTAAAAATTTTTTTACCAATATTTTTATCAGTAAATAAAATAATTTCTTTTGGAAACAGAGTAACCCTCTATCTGTTTGGTCCATTTGTACTTACAGTACAAAATAGAAAAAGTTGTTTAAGAAACAGAGGGTTGGATGGAGACGTGCTGTGGAGTTGTGGAGGTGTTTTGGACAATAAAAATTCTTACATTCAAGCATGTCAAGAACAGATTTAATGTTAATGTCTACTTCATTCTACAATATATACTATTGTTATTTAATAACTAAAACAAGAGAGAGCGAAAGAAAATTCAAGAGAAGTTAAAAAGAGACGATTAATTATCTCTAATAAATGATTTTTTTTTTTTCACCTCATGACCTCTTCAATGGGGGCAAAAATGGTGGGAACTCGTCTCTAATTAATGCACAGTGCGTATCCTAGTTAATAAGAGGGTCTGTTTCTGACTTCATAACTTCATCATTGACGCACAGTACCGCTTCGAGATCGACCTTCTTCTTAATTTCCTTTGAATTTAATGATTCTTCTGGTTTTGATGTTGTGGGCAGTGGTGGTTTTGTGCTCTGCGTCAGGTCTCTGGCTCTCTCTACCTGAAGAATCCAGTCCGTTTTACAGAGGACGTATAGCATGAGCAGGGCACAGGACGCTTGCGCCGCTAGCAGGCCGAGCCAGAGTCCTGCGAACCCCATTTTGGCGACGAACCCCATTAAGATGGCTACCGGCATGCCAACTAGGTAGAATGAACCCAGGTTGATGTTGGCTCCTATGGTGGGCCTGGCGCTGCCTCTGAGGACGCCGCATCCTGTTGTTTGTGGACAGTTTCCTAGTTCACACAGTCCGGAGATCGGCAATACGATGGAGGTGAGTTCGAGGATTTCGGTGTCGTTGGTGAAAAACCTTCCCCATTTGTGCCGCATCAGGGTGGTGAACAGCATGGCTATTAGGCCTAATGCGGCTGCGCCAAACAGAGAGACGATCATGGAAATGCGAGCTTTTGCAGGGCGGTTTGCACCCAATTCGTTCCCGACCCTCGTCGATACTCCCAGACTTAACGCGGATGGAAATACGTAGACCAGGGATGTCGTCTGAATCAGAATTCCCATGGAAGCAATGGTGGCTTTGGGGTTAACCAGAAGTCCACAGAGCATAATCATGAGTTCATACCACCACCACTCCAGGCAAACAGAGATACAGGTTGGAATTGCAAGGGCAAGCAGAGACGACCATCCCCTGAGGCAGTCTGTGCTCGGAGATACCCAAGAATCTTGATACACTCCGGAGAAGTAAATGAAGGAGCAGAGCAAGAGGAAGAGGTGGAGGTTAGTCCAGACCATGGCTATGGCGACTCCAGCAATACCCATTTTGAAATGCACAACGAGGAGGAAATTCAGGGGAACATGGAGGAGAACAGAGATGGCAGAGCAGTAAGTTAAGGGTAATGTGATGCTCTGAGTTCTGAGATAGATGCGAAGAGGGTGAAGCAGAGAAAGGAAGAAGAGGTCAGGGATGGAGAAGAGAATGAAGGTATGAGCCACAGATGATATTTCACCGTCTTGGCCGCACCAGAGGAGGATTCTCTTCATGTTCAGCCACATGAAGGAGATGGGTACAGAAGCTGAGAGGAGAAGGACCACCGTTCTCTGAAGAGTTAACCCAAGAAGCTTCATCTGTTTGGCACCGTAAGCTTGTCCACAAATGGGTTCCATTCCCATGGCCAGACCGGAGATTACAGAGTATCCAGTAATGTTTGCAAAACCTATGGAGAGAGAGCCGCCAGCAAGCTCAAGCTCACCGAGATACCCCAGGAAGAGCATAGAGATCATGGCTCTTGAATAAAGAAGCAAACCAGTCATGGCTGTAGGACCTGAAATCTTCCCTATGGCTTTCATTTCATCAATGGCCTGAAAAAAAAGAAGGTAAATGAGCTTTGCTTGTTAAAAAGTTCCATATGTTTTCTTTTATCTAAAAAGAAGTTAGCGTGCTTAGTTATTGCAGAGGTTAATGTAGTTTTGTTAAACGTTTTAATTACCTCGGAGAGAGTGGGCCATCTTCGTAGTTGTTCTTCTTGATCATCAAGGTGAAGATTATCCATAGTCTTGGTGGAACTTATGAAATGGGTCCTGCTATAGGAGAGGAATGAGGAAGGAGAAGATGGTTTTGGGTTAACGTTACACATTGTTTATCTTGTGTGGATAAAATATGACTTTGGGAAGAAACGGAAGAAAGGGAAGTTAAAAAATTGAGAATATGAAACCCAGGTAGCTGGTAAGGGTATGTTGAAGGAAGTTTGTTGGTTGTGTATGGTTTTGGAGTGGAGATATATAAATGGGGAATTGAAGGGACTCAAGGGAGAGATATATAACACTATGTGGGTATTTATACTAGAGGTTGAGAGTTTTTTTTTTTTTTTTT